TATAAATAAATAACATACTACAATTAAATAGTATTTAATAAAATTCATTTAAAATCCCCTATTAAAATTAATTGAAAATGATCTGTCAAAACCATTTGATATTTGACGTATGAGCCGCCGGCCATTGTTTTTAAATTATGCTTTTACAAAAAAATTTGAATTAAAAATGTAAAGCAGCTTTGAAGTAATGTCTCACATTTTGCACAATATTTGAATTAGCACAAATTTTTCAAGACTAAGACAGGCCAAATCCGTATAGCCATTTTAACGTTTTACCATACCTAACATAATACCTAGCGACATTTTTATATATAAGAAAAAGATATATACAAGATGTTCTTTATGATTAAACAATTATTATAATTAATAATTAAGTTCACTCTTTTTAAATAAATTATTGCAATATATTTGAAAATTTTTAAAGAATAATTCAATCAGTTTTTATAATTACAGAGAAAATATGGACAAAATGACACAATGGACATATTTATAAAATTGGCTAGTTTTAAATACTTTTCCAAAACTGTATAAAATGTAGAAAACCATAATCACAATCCTTTTAGATATTGCGCGTCATTGTCACAGTCCTGTAACTTAAAGGTATATTGCCTCTTCAAAATCTCATTTTCAGCACATTTTTTTGGAACATATGTTTTATATTTTTACTCAATTCTTGACATCCGTAGAAGACGATTAAAACAGTTTCAGAAATTAATGACTTATTATTATTCAGTAGCCAAGGCTCACACCAAAAACTCTGAGGTATATAGCAATACTTTTTAACTCTTCCTGAGATTAAAAGTGTTTCCCACGGCGTGGAAAATAGCTAAAATGATTCTAATTTCTAAAATAGATAAAGATCATTGTCTACTGAAGTCATACCGACCTATAAGCTTACTATCAACCCTATCCAAAATATTTGAGAAACTTCTTCTAAAAAAAGTTCTTACAACACTCTATGATACATCTATAATCCCGGATTATCAAATCGGTTTTAGAAAGTTCATTCCACCATAGAACAAACACATATAATCGTCGAACAGATAAATGCAACTCAACATGAAAAGAATTACTGCTCAGCTTGTTTCCTCGACATATCCCAAGCCATTGACATGGTTTGGCATGGTGGATTACTTCATAAATTAAAGAATATTTTATCTGCACAATTATTCATAATATTAAAATCATATCTTACTGACAGAAAATTCTATATTAGTCTAGCAAACCAAAACTCATCTCTCAGAAATATTAACTCTGGTGTTTCAAAATTATCATCATTTTTCTTATCTTTCAAGACAATTTTTTATCTTGGATTTCGCAAGCAGCATTCAACGATCCAACAGTGCCACAGAATTATGAATTCAATTCACAAAATTTTCGAATGTAAACAATACTGCACAGCAGTGTTTCTCGATGCAAGCTAGGCTTTTGATGAAGTAAGGCATGAAGGCCTTTTTGCAAAAATTAAATGGTTGCTGCCGGCTTGCTTTCATAAAACTTTGGAATCATACTTAACAAACAGATGGTATAAACCAGTTAGAGTAAGTTATGTTGTAAGTTGAGTGAGTCGAAATCGCAAAATGACTTCAGAAACTGGATTTTTTTTTATTTATATTATATATGCAGAATGTTATAGAATATAATTACATGTAACGTAATTTCGGTACATGCTTTTTTTAATTTTTAACTTTTATAATTGAGTTTGAAGTGGCTACTCCTTCGTTTTTTACTTACAAACTTTGTTTTCACGAGAAAATCCGAGTTGATGATATTACATTTTCTCTAGTCTCAACTAAAGATGCTGCAGGAATTTTGAGGACATTCTCTTCATTACAAGATATACCTGTGGAGAAGGTGTTAATCTTGTTTACGGATAATCATACAAAATCAAGAATGGAGAGACCATGATTTTGTGTCGTCTCGGGATACACTTTAATTGTGGTGAAAGTGTATTTTCACAAACTTTATTGCCAGGAGCTTTAGAAAGTCCTAATTTGAAATATTTATGTAAACTTTGTAAACTGCACAAAATACATAAAACTAATAAAAAAGTAAATAAAATCCTGTCAGCATTAGATAACCAAAATTCTCTATATGAGATAATTGGCATTAATGAGATGTAAAATTACAATATCTTTTCAAAAATCTATTTAAAGACAGTATATATCGATTAACAATCGATAATTAGAGTCAATAAAAGATCTGCACTCATCTCCACGATATCGAAACAAATATAAACAAATAGTTACAACCACTTGTGAATGAGAATATAAGCCAAAGGCTTAAAAGAAATTGGCCTGCTGACCTGATCAAATAATCACTGCCATTCTTCATGGATAGTTACTCAATGGAGGCATCCCAATATATTTATTTTCTTTCAGTATGCAAAAAAATAAATAAAATTTTTATAAATCTCATGTTAATAAATTAATTACATTAATTAAAATGAAAAGGTCCTCAAAAGAAAAGCCGCTGAAAAACTACATACAACTCAAAATATTCACCGTCCTATTTCATAATAGTAATTTTAGTAGTCATTCTCATTTATATAGGGTAGGGCGGGGCTAGTTGAGCATAGGGGCAAGTTGAGCAATCGAAATATCTCGAAAACTATTCACCGTCCGTTTAGGCATTATATGGCGGAAAGATAGAGGTTTGGGAGAAATAAACATCCCGCGATCGCTAGTGGCCGCTGGACAAATGAGTGAGGCTCGCGGGCGTTTTGTTTATTTTGAGACCAAAAAGTAAAAAAGTAATTCATCACGAGTTTTCGTCTGGTTTAGTCAAATGTTATTTATTGTTATACAGGTAAATGTTATTCTTCCATATAATTATAGTACTTTTAATATGCACAGAGATTCTGGGTATGATTCTGGGTTTTTTTTATAAACTCACTTTTATTTTGAAATTCCGAGTTGGGGTTAGTTGAGCATGAGTTCTGTCACTAAGACAATTAACATTAACTTCCAAAAATTAATTATTATTTTTAAGATTTGAGCTAAGTCTATGAGTAATAATATAAAGAAATAATGATTTTAAACAAAAATACTGAATATAATGGTAAAATAATTCCTAAGATACGATATTGTTTTGTTGATTCTACTTTTGGTTAATTATTCAAAGAAAATTACTATAAGTTTTGTATTCTCTGTCAATAAATACTATAAATAGAACTGGTTATTAAAAACTAATTTCATTTCATCACTAATCGACATTGAGCCTATGACTTCATTATAATTTCTTAGTGCTCAACTTGCCCCACCTATGGGGTACATTGAGCATACTTGACTTTTTGCATTTAAACAGCTGTAGCTTTTAAATTTTACTTATTGCCAAAAAATAGTATTAACACTTTTGTTAAGCGATAAACAACAAATCCATTAACTGTATAGCAATTCATTGAGACTTTTCATTGAAGAGCTACATCTGTTTAAGTAAAAAGTTGCTCAACTAGCCCCGCCCTACCCTACCACATAGTTATACATTCAAAATTAGGTAGTTATTTTTTATACTAATAATTTGATAGAAATATTTCTTGTGACTAAACATTGCCGGGTCATCTAGTATATATACATACATACATACATATATATATATATATATATATATATATATATATATATATAATAGTGCAACCCATCATAAAATTTTAAAATTTAAATTGCCCCATCGGTTGAAAAGGTTGCTCGCTCTCGATTCACATCATTTAACAAATGTATTTAGAAAGAAAGTAAGAAGAATAAATACACAAAACAAACATTGAGGCAGAAGTTACAAGCAAGACTGAAATATGCTGAAAATTTTGCTTTTTTTGACTTAAAGGCATAAAACATCGCTGGGTGCAACCTGTTGCATTTTATTTCTCAAATGTTGGGTGTGAATAGCTTTGATTTAAAATGTATTGTTGTAGATAATGTGTGAAAACTAATAAGTATTGGTCTAAATGTTATTGCAATAGTTTGTGATCAGTTTGCTGCTAATTGCAAAACTATAAATGTGCTTCTCATAGATACTGAGGAACTATATAAAACATGACATCATCTGGAATAAACTCTGGAATAAACTCATATTTGAAATAGATGCCCAGTTATGACATAGTTCTTTTGTATGGCCCTCCACAATAGCTAAACTAAGAAATAACTTTAGATTTTCAGATCAAAAAGAAGAGGCATACGAAGCATGTTGTAAAGATATCACATTATTATGACTTTTATAACAGTTGGGCATGTTTTGCCAATGCACTACTTTAACATAACACCTTGATGAAACAAAAATAAAAAAATAAAGGTTAGCTTTGCAGCACAAGTATTTTCAAAATGTGTAGCTCTTAGACTTCAGTATTTCAATGTACATTCTCATGAAACAAATGTGAGCACTACTTCGGAGTTCACAAATTGTCTTTTTGATAATGCCAATTATCTATGTAATTTTCCAACAAATGGCAATATATTTCGATGTGCCATTAATAATAATTCTCTGCCAAGATAACTGCAATGCATGTAATGATAAAATGCGTTGACATTTTATTTAAACTTAGATTACATTACAATTGTTATGAAAACATCTACAATTATAATTGGGACATAATTAGGAAAAATTCCTATTCAATTAAATGATTTAATTATTTGTGTATGCAAAATTTTAATCAGAATACCTTGAAAGACTTTTTTGGCAATATAAAAAAGCAAATTGCATATAATAAAAATCCAAATCCTTATTCTTGAGGTAATTGTGAGAATAAATTAAATTATTTGTACATATATTAGTATAATTTTTAAAAAATAATATTCCATAAGTCATAATGGCCACAGGCACTTAAAATATTTCTTTGATATTTCACAATATAAAAAATCAGCTCCGATAATAAGTTTACCGATGATTGGCTGCTAAGTTATTGTGCCATGTTAATTCAGATAAATTTTTGAAAAGCCACTTAGACTTGAGAAGAATCATTATTTTGATATTCAACATCATTCAAATAAGTAATAATAAAAACTTACCTCATGCCTGGTTAAAACATTTTTAGTTTTCATCGACATGCGGTGATATTACTCAAACCTGAGAAGCTTTCTATGCAACTCAAAAAACATCATGTTCTATTCGAAACCAACCTCCATTAACAATTCGGTGCGTATATTTTTTATAATCTTGGCAAATATCTGAAAACAAATATCTTTGAAATTTCACATAATCACATTAATAAATGTATAATTCATGGATCGTAATTCATAAAGTATACGATCTCCATTGCTGTTGACAGAAACATAACAGATCAACACAATTTATTGAACACTGTTAATATGATTAATTGATTTATAATGGTATAGCCTAGACAATATACTAATGATGGTATAGTGTCATAAAAAACATACCAAAAGTAGCAGTCGACAGATAAAATTACAATTAAAACTTTTTGTAAGACTTCACTAACATCGAAAGAACCACGAGCAACGAACTGAAGTGACATATCGAAAAGGCGGGAAACCTAAACAGAATGCGCGCGTCTACACAGACAAAGATTTACGGCGACGGTTGATAGACACTAGCGCTACTCGCGGCAACTGGCGCATACTGTGAATTAAATCTCACATAGTGTTTAACATTTTGATAAAAAATATATAATTTTTAATTTCAAATATGTATTTCCATTAATTAGAAAAAGACTAGAAAGTAGATTCTGTCCGCTTTTTTATTTCAGTGAATAGATCAATCAACGAAACTGTCTCTTCGACTAATAACATTTGATTGAACAAACTTTATGTTTGGATCAAAGAAACTCAAATACAAGAGGATCAAGCAAATCAATTATTAAAAATAATCAATAAACATTTTGATCAATTTGCCCGAAGATGTGCAGAGTATGGCACAAATAATTGAAAAACATGAACCTCATATTACAACTGCTCAATATCTTGACTACCATCATCCTACTACCTCAACTATTGAGGAGCAATCGGTAGCGAGTAAGTATTAAAATAATAAGTAAGTATTAAAGTAATAAATTATTGAAAGTATTGATTGGAAGTATTGTATATTCAATAGGAAATAATGAGCCAGCCATTCAAGATAGTATTCCACCGACCACCTCAGCCATTGAGGAAAAGCTTGAATCTTTAGCAAGTAAGTATTTTGTTTATCATTATTTTCTTAATAATATCAGAAAGTGTACGTAAGCCCACAATTTGCTTAGTCTTCTGCTTTTTTGGTAGGTTGGAGAAAAAAACAGAGTTTTGGTACTAAATCAGTATATACGAGTACTATTTTCGCTATGCTATTGTGAGCTTATTGAAAATAGCTCAACAATGTACTTCTTGCTCCATTATAATGTTTAATAAACAATATTTCATTCTAACTTTCTGAAAAAGAATATGTTTTCATCAGCAAATCCTATTTGCTAATTTTGTGTTCTCAACGTTTCAAATTATTTTGAACAATTTGCCAATAAATTTTCCAATGTCAACGTTCTTATTGTATTAAAATATTTATCGTGAAGTTCATTTTATCAAGCAAAGATAAGCCCGAAAAGTCATTGAATAACTTGTCGACAATGTTGGAGAAAATTACACTTGATCTTCAAGAAATGATGGAAAATCAAACTGAAATTTGTATGTTTTCAGTTTCAGACGAAGAGCAGCAAATCCCAGTGATTACATTACATTGAAGAGTGTAAAAGAAATAGAGGAATTCGAAGAGGCATTAAATCATGATAAGACTTTGACACTTGGCTTACAATTCAGCCAGCATGAAGTTGCCGGCGAAGACAGATATCAAGCTGTCAAGCATTTCAGATGTCAAGAGCGCGTCGGCCATTTTGTTTATTTTTATAACAGCGTTGCGTCGGCATATTGTTTTTTTTATCAAGTAAGCTTGTTTCATATTTAATATTAATATTTTTTAGCTTTTCGTTAGGATTCATTATTTTTGTGTTTATTTTTTTTTGTGGCCGTTCAAGTTTATTCGCTTTGGCTTTTTGATTACGCGCCTATTTAGTTCTTATTTTAATTTTTACATTTTAGGGTTAGGTTTTAGGATTCCTTTCATTCAAAGATCATTTTAGTCTAGCTTAGATTTTATACAATGTTTTAGTTATAATTGTTTTTTAAAAACTAATTTAGGATTACGTTTTACGCATAGGGTTACATTTTATTCATTATTTTTGTTAGGCTTACGTTGTATACATAGGATTACATTTTATTCATTTTTTTTTAGGCTTACGTTTTATACATAGGATTACATTTTAGTCATTATTTTAGTTACGGTTACGTTTTATAGATAATTATTGTTTGGCTTACCTTCTATGGATAATTATAAATAGGTTTAGGTTTCATTACTTTTTTTTAACAAATCATCCAATTAAGGAACTCGCTTTTATTATCATTCATTTTCAATTTCTTACTTAAATTTAAACATGAATAGCAATATTTTCTGCCAAGAGTGCAAGGTTTCATTCGCACACCGTGCATCATTGTTTCGCCACATGAAGCGGAAACATGGAGAGAATCCCAGACTTGTTTATCCTAATGCCTGTTCCTTGTGTGAAAAAACTTTTAAAAATAAATGTTCATTAACACGACATATCACCCAAGTACACGCCAATATCCCACCAACTCCTTCTACAGTATCCTTAGTTCGTTCCAATTCCTTACCTTCACCTACTGCTGTGTTATTAATTCAACACTCAACACACTTGTTTTCTCCGAAATCCTCTGGTTCAGGCAGCATTTATCGCCACAACCATCCGCTTCATCCACGCAAGTTACTTTTCATCCATCTCCTATTCCCGATTCTACACTCAGTTCAAATGTAAATATTAATTCACCTCTTCTTGGAACACATCCTTATATGGCTTTGTCGCCACAACCATCCCCTTCATCCACGCAAGTTACTTTTCATCCATCTCCTATTCCCTCTTCTTAATTCGGAATGTGGTTGTTTGTTTCGATGGTGAAAGTCATAGGTCATCTCCATTTATTTGCGTTTGGCTTGTAACAATATCTTTCTAATGCTATTTTTATTCTAATTCTTACGCTTATTTTCCATATTATTGTTTGTATTTGCTCTTTCCTTTTATGTTCTATATTATGATTCATATTGTAAACGCTTCTTACTGCCTATGTTATTATTGAGTTATGTAATTTTTTATAAAACTGTTTATTCAAATAAATACTATTTCTTTTTATTATTTAGTAATATTATTCATGTTCGATCTAAAAATATTCATAGATGTATATAAATGATTTTTAATAAATATATAGTTTATAGATTTATCTACAGTCTCAACTAGAATCATCCCGAAATTCCTATTTTTACTATTTTAAAAAAATTCGAGAAACTCAAAAAAAAAACAGTAAAAAAAACTTTTTTTTTCAAACAGTCGCCAATTTGTGAAAAAAATTGTTTTACTCATCGCTAGTTCAGCCGATTGCGACATCATTGTAGATTAATAATCTTTTTATTTTTTACATTTTCGATGGCTAGGAGGGCTGAAATCATGTCAAGACTGAGGTGCCAATTTTTTGAGACCACCCACTTCATCAGCTGCCAGTTTTTACAATTTTCAACTTTTGTATTTTTAATTTTGTATTTTAATAATATTAATAAACAAGTGGTAAAAAAATGGATAGTAGAAAAATTCTTTGCTTTATTTTTCGACACTTTAAAAATGACCTAAAATTCATCGCTCTATATTAGAATACCCCCTTAAATCAATAACGTGTTAAAATTATAATTATAAAAAGAACGAATGTTACTAACGAATATTTTGCAGATAAATCAAACCGAATCCAGAATAGAATGGAGTCAAATGTTCTTTGTGTTTTTTGGGTTATATTATATCAATAAGCGAAAGTATAGATCAACTAATATTACTAACCGAGAACAAGCGGTCCTATTGACATTTTGCTGCAAATTTAAATCAACAATCGTCCACTAAGGCACTGAATTTAAATATAATCGAGCTACACATCAAAACACTTGTTGAAACTAATACGAACCGCCTGTCATCAACGACATACATAGATTACGAATGCTGATAATTGTAGAGCGTAGAACGAATGTAAGGGTGCCAACACACGTGTCCATAGCGTGAGTCGCAGCCATAGATAAACAAGCACACATAGATGCATGACCGGTAATCTCCGAACAAATGTCTATAACACGGATTTAGTTAGAGCTCCTGCCGCCGGTCGCGCTCTTGTGCCCGATTTCGCACTCATCGGGTAAAAAATTTTACGCGGGCTATAAAATAATCTTCGAAAACGTTCAATCGTGTTTGTTTGCATTTGATTCGTTAAATTCAGTTTCGTTATAAGTTGCGTTACGATAAGTGATTAGTTTGATTCAGTGCAAGTAGTGTTAGAAGTAAATCCAATGTGTCCAAGTGCTACATACCAAGGTGCAATAATACCAGAAAAAATGGCAAAATTGCGAGAAATGGAAAAGTACGCATAAAATAATAAAGTAACCAAACACTGGCCACAATTAAATATCATTTCTAATATTATAGTTGTTTGCTGTTTGGTTGCATAGAACTAAAAATCCTGCTTTAGAAAATTTAACTTCTTTGCTTTGCAATAAGTCCCGTTAGGTGTGCAACGCACACTTTGCTGGTATATGCAAAAGGAACACAAGAGGCGCTTCACTGAAAATTAATGCTTTGCCTTCATTAAATATGCCATGTACATCTAGTCCTAGACAATATTAGAATACCATGTGTTCATAGTCGCAACTAGTTACACGAACCACCTTGCTGATAGAGCATATTTTCACCTATATAAGTATGCGAGATCTCTATACTCGAGGAGAATAACTATATATAATTTTTGCCAGTTCACATACCAGTTCATTATTCATTATATTATAATATTATAAAATTGAAGTATTTTATATAATCAATTGTAATTTTAAGAAATAAAGTTTTTCTTCTTTTATTCTGTATGATAGAATTCGCGATCGTCTATCGCAGATATTCATTGATAGAACATTTAGACTTCGGAAGCAATAGAACAAAAGTGATTATAGAAGAAACAAAGATTGTAGAATTGATTTTAGAATGGCCTAACGCAGGATTTCCATGCAATTCAAAATCAAGAAATTAAAGGTAAAAATTATTGTGTGTGAATAGTGCAAAGAGGATAGTCACCAAAGAACCCTAAACTGGTGAGTAAAAATTTAATAATGCATAGATCGATACTATTCCAAAATTTGGCATAAACCCCGCAAAATTAAATTTAAGAGTCGAAAAAATTAAAAATAGGTACTACCTTTATACTTGTTAGCTTTCCGAAGGAAAAGTTTTTTCGACGATTTTTATTATTATTTTTTTAACGGTAGTCTACATCTTACTAAAATATTATGGCTGTACGACAACTAGTTTAACTTTCATATGGTTTGCTGTGCTCGGTGTTATTGATTCGTATCACTACTATTTTAGTCTTTTTATTTAAAAACTCGCTGTTTTTAATAGGAACAACAAAACA